TTGGTTCCAAACTTTTAAGCCTTTTCTACAAGGCCATCAGTTGTATTCTACTAACAATTTTGGGGACCTTGTAGACATTATGCTAGACTTGTAAATATTTTGTATACATGTTGCAGCCCCTTGATGCCTTATTAATATACTTTTTACTTCTAAAAGAAACTAAAATAGTAATCAATTTAGGAATATAAACTTAGATAAATATTGATATTTAAAAAAATAATAATAGTTGTATTTCTACAATTCTTCTTTATATCACTCTCCTCCAGTTAAAGCAAACTCATCCTTAATTTTTGAAGTGTTGAAGAACGAAGAAAATCAATCGATAAATGTTTGAATTTTTTTTGGAAATCTTGGACTTATTGGTCTCTAAGGAAACAACTTTGCTAACGAAGACATCATTGAAGGTTGACAAAACCATGAAGGTACAACAATCTTACACAATCCACAATTTTTTCTTGATTTTCTCTTTGGGTCCAATATCAGCAGTTTATCTTTACATAAAGCATGCTGACCAATCTCAGGATTCTCTTCACCCTGAACTCGATCATCGTTGGAACCTATCTTTTAAACTTCTTTATCTTCTTTTGAAACTTGGTGCTCATGTAAGTCCTCAACTTGCTTTTCAACTATGCATTTGTTCTTTCATTATTTTTTTCATATAGCTCGAGCTCTTTTTATGACTCTTTATTTTGCAAAGACACTTACAAAACTTTCCAGCTTATTAGAAGCCAAGGCTGGTTGCTAAAGGTTACACATAAAGACAATGAATTGACTACAAGAAAACCTTCCAGTAGACAAGTTAAAATTTATTGGTATGTTGCTTAAAAATTGCAACTTACCATGATTATGAAATTTGAAATGAATGCAAAAACTGTTTCCCTTAATAGAACGTCAAGAAATATGTGTATATCATATAACCCAAGGGTATCACATGCTAGGATGCCAATAAGGTATTTAAGCTGCAGTCTATTTTTGGACAGAAGAAAGTCTTCCACTATTTAAACATTCATTTTGATGAAAGTACAAAGAATTTATTCTATTGAGAATGAAGACAAGAATTGTGTCTACAAGAAGGTGACTAGAAGCAAACTAGTGTTTGTTTCTCCACATAGATGACATCCGACTCATTGAAAATGGTATTGGGATGTTCTAGTTAGTTAAAATTTGGTTGTTGCAGGACTGACCTTTTTGAAAAGATACGGGAGCAAAGACCTATATTTTGGCGATTAGGACAGGCTGCACCCCCTTTTGGTGCTAAAAATTAATATATTTTAAATCTTATTATTTCAAGAAAAATACTTTGGCGATTAGGATCTACTTAATAAGCTTGTCTTTTCGAAATATGTTAAAGTAATT